CTAACAGCACCGCTGCCGCTCCATGTCAATCCCTACGCTTTATATTTTACTTCGCAAATGAGGTTAAACAATCAGCATCGGTCGTCCATTTGTGGGCGGGCGGGTGCGATGGGCGTTTGGGTCGGTATGTTGTATCTTGATAGGGCCTTGTAACGGTACCTTCTTTAGAGAAGGCAGTACCTGCCCAGGGGCGAGGAATTCCGTCCCGCTGGGCGTATTAATCCTGCCAGCCTCGAAAACTTATCGTGCCAACTGCTTTTAGAAGGTGAAGTACATTTCATATCTAGGAGGAGGGTATTCAGTAAGGGTACCATTATGAGTGGAAGATGGTTTCAGTGCGACCGCTTTCCCTGTCGGTCACATGAAATCTAGAAATTTCCGCGGGGGTCCCGGTACGAAAGGTCAGAGCGTAGAGAAAGCGAGGACTACGGCCGTCAAGGTATCGAAATCGGCGAAAACGTTACGTGACGACTAACACTTAAGTGCCTTTGCGAAAGGGAGAGCGCAGAGAAACAGAGCACTGTGGCTACGAAGGCACTGAGAGGGACAACAATTATACCGCGAGCGACGAGATCAATTTTTTCCGAAGGGATAGGACACCGGGGTGGATGAGCCACTTATTATGCGTGAAAAGTTGGAATGTGAAAGGTCAGAGTGGTCGCAGAAAGCCGCGCAGACGTGAGAGCGCTGAGAAAAACAGAAAATTGGCGCCATTGAAGGGATTGAGTTCAACTGCCCGTAGACCCTGCAAAAAATATGTCGAATGCGAGGGAGAGAGCATTTTCAAAGGCGAGGACTTTGTGGTGGAAGAGCTGGGTAGACGTGAGAAGGCAGAGAAACAGAAAGTTGGCGCGAGCTGAAGGAATCTTAGTCGGATCAATCAGATGGCAGGTGGTAATCGGTTTGTGACGGTTTTCGAAGAAGGCAACCAGAGGTGATATCGCCGCGGATGAGACTCGATCCATCCCTCTCGAAAGCGCCCCGACTGATTGATTTACTTGTTCTTATGTGTGTGTATTTTAGGGTGTTCAAACTTCAAAAACGAGCCATAGAAGGCATCCCTCATGTCGGATTCACTTTAGTTTGCGGTGCTAAGGTTAGTTGGTGCTGCTCTTTTTCAAAATTTCGTCATAGGACCCATCAGTCGTCTGTCCTTTGAACTTTTTTTGAGGTCGCATCAACTGTTTTCTTTCAGTTGAAGTCAGCCCTGTGGAGAATCAGTGCTAATGTGAAACTTGTGATTCGGAAGAAAGATAATGAAGAATTTGTTGAACGAAATGTAAGTGCATAGATAGCGTTACATATTTTTGGAACAACTTAATTGGTCTAAATGAAGTAAAGGGAGGTAGGGTCAAGCATACGTCGCGGAATCCACGACGAGGGGGTCGTATTCGGCTCCCTTCAGAAGGGGTGGGGGTCGTATTTGCAGAGACCAGTACTGAAACAGCATCCACGTAGCTTGCAGGATGGGTGATGCGTTCGGAAAGGAAGTCGAATACATGGCGCATTCCACAGAGAAGTTGACCAGTGCCCCTGCGTATCAATTCCTAAAATGTGTATTTGTAATGTGTATTTGAAATATGAGCAGGAGCTGTACGGGAAGCTGTCGAGCTTTCTATATGGAAACATGGGCCGTGCAGGGGGAGATCCTCTTGCAACAGCTGAAAATTAATTTAACACATTCCGTACCGCTGTTATGCGAGGTCTCCTTATCATCTCATCACTTTGTGGATCGGTAAGTCAGTAATTCCATCTGTTTCTTCCACTTTCCTATGAGATATGCATATCATGTTTCCAAAAAGGTGTTTCGATAACGAAACACGAAAAAGATGCCAAATA